CGACGGGGTGGCAACCCATCGATGTTTCTCTCTCTCTCTTCCTCCTCCTCCTCCCTTCCTTCCTCTCTCTCTAAAAATCAATGGAAAAAATATCCTCAGGTGAGGATTAACAACAATAACAACAAAAGGACTCTGGGTGTGCAGGCCCATAGATAGGCAGGAGGGCTCTGACAACCGAAAGTGATGCCTCATTCAGTTTGTAGCTTAGAATCTTCCTAACGTCCATCCTCTGTCTGGAAACTTCTAACTCTGCTGAGCCTGCAGACATGGTGGCAGGGATGGTTGGCAGCATTTGTGAGCATCGGGGACTTTCCTCGCACAGATGTGAACTTGAACTCGCCTGGAGCTACGCTCACCTTTTTCTCTAGGATACCCGTTTTTATTGGACAATCGGTGTAATGAATGGAAAATTAATAAATGAAAAGTGGGTAAATGAAAGTGTCTTAAACTTAAATACAAGCTGCTTTAAAATGGCACTTTCAGGTAGTTCCTGTTGAACCCCCAACCTAAATCCTAAGAGCACAAAATTCGTAGAGCATGATGGGAAGATCTTGTGAAAAATTTCAGATGGTGTATGGGGAGATATGTCTAAGGGGAGGAGGAAGGCTTATGGACGTATGAAGGTCTGGGGTTAGGAAGGGAGTGACATTTATTAAAAAAAAAAAAAAAAAGGAAGAAAAGAAGTGTGCTATGTGCTTATGTACATGTACCAGCAGGGAAGTGCCATCACCAATCGTTACCTCTGAGCAGGATGGGCAAGGGGAGGGGACTTTCACCTTTTCCCCTAAGTATCTAGTATTCTTTGAATCTTCTATTGATTGATTGATTGATTGATTTTAGAGAGAGAGGAAGGGGGAGGGAAAAAGATAGAAACATTGAAGAGAGAACATCGACTGGCCGCCTCCTGCACGCCCCCCACTGGGGATCAGGCCCACAACCTGGGCATGTGCCCTGACCGGGAATCAAATTGGGGACCTCTTGGTGCAGGGTTGATGCTCAGCCACTGAGCCACACCGGCCGGACTTGTTCGAATCTTTTAAGTGGAGAATATACTTGTGGAATCGAAAAGAATTCAAGAAGGCAAAACAGCAGAGCCAACACAGCAGGTGTGCATAGACACCCAGGCCTTCGGGAAACGAGCAAGGGCGTTTCTGAGGAGCACGGGCGACAGACTGGTGCTGGGTCGGCCTCAGTGCGCCGTGTCCTGGTTTGGTCTTCCCACCGAAGAGGAAGGCGCCGCGTTCACGGCTTCTTCCTGGGCTTGTGACTCGGCCGTGGGCACGAGGCCCCTTTCTTGATGTCCTCAGGCTGCCCAGGGACCAGCCCTGAGCGAGAACACGCAGTGCCGAGGCCACGGTCCGCCACCAGCTCCCGGTCCCTCAGCTGGTTTCCTGATAGAATGAACACACGCGAACTATAACCAGAGTTTTATGGGGTTTCTTTACCCAAACCTGCTCGTCAATGCTCCTCACGGTCCTGTGAGACCTGCCTCTCAGCCCGTTTTAGTCCGTGACGAAGTCTCAGCAAGTCGAGGGGACGCGTCCATTGTCCCCCGGGGCTGCCGTAACAAAGTGCCACAGACTAGGGGCCTGAAACAACAGAACGCGATTGTCTCACGGTTCTGGGGGCTGGGAGTCCAAAGTCAAGGTGTCATCAGGGTCATGTTCTCTGAAGACTCTGGGTAGACCCTTCCTGGCCTAGTTTTTAGTGTTGCTGGAGCCCCTGGCTTGTGGCTGCATGGAACCATCTTGACTCCTCCGTCATCACGTGGAGTCCCCTGTGAGTCTGTCTTCCCTCTTCTGTAAGGACACAGTCACATTGGATCAAAGGCCCACCTTACTCCAGTATGACTTCCTCTTAGCGAGTTACCTCTGCAAAGACCCGCTTTCCAAATAATGTTGCATTCTGAGGTCCTGGGGGTCAGGACTCCGACCTAACGTTCTGGGCGACATGACAAGCCGGAAGCACATGCTGCAGCTGGACCTTGAGTGCTCATTCTTCCTCCCCACCAAACTGAACTGCAGCAATTTACTTCTATTTCTCCTCCCTCTGAGGACATCACATGCTGTCTGGCCGGTGTGGCTCAGTGGTTGAGCTCGACTCACACACCAAGAGGTTGCCAGTTCGATTCCCGGTCAGGGCACATGCCCAGGTTGTGGGCCCGATCCCCAGTGGGGGGCATGCAGGAGGCCGCCAATCGATGTTCTCTCTCATCGATGTTTCTCTCTCTCTCTCTCACTTCCTCTCTCTCTAAAATCAATAAAGGAGGGAAAAAAATCACCTGCAGACCTCAGGAAGTGATAGTATCCGGTGTCCCAGAAAAGTTTTGGAGGGAGGACCTGGACCTGGTACCTTCTGGGACCAATCTGGACAGTTACAGAGGAGAGAGGCACCCCAAGGAAGTCACCAGTGGGGGGACCCCCTTAGCAGGTGTTTTGGCGTGCCAGCCTGAGGGCTACCGAAACACTCGAGGCTCTTCATCTGTGGATTTTGCCAGCCCAGAAACATTGTGGTAGCCCGACAATATATCACCCAATGTCAATAGAAATCCTACAGGCTTAAAACCTCTTATGTTGAGTGATTGTGTGTGAGTGTGGATGTGTGTAAGGGTATAACTGTGCTTGTGTGTGTATGAGTGTGTGTGTGTGTGTTGGGTCTTTGTAGATGAAGTCAAGGTTTGGGTGTGATGACGCCATCAGTTGACTGTCTCAGAACTGTTACAGATGTGCCCTGCGGTACGGGAAGCCTTGTACCTTAAAGTCTGTACACTTGGAGATTACGGTAACTATGGGCAGTGGTTTGAGTCATTTTCCTCCCTTCACGGGTTCTTTATCCTAAGACCTCTGGTGTACCCAGTAGACTCAGGCTTTGGGCTGTAACATGGGAGTGCAGACAGACAGACAGACAAAGCTAGAGAAATGCTTCCATCTGGAGCTGGACGCAGGAAGAAAAGACTTCTTAAATAGAGGGGAGGGAGGGAGAAGAGATGGGAGAGACAGACGGACAGACAGACATGCACCAGCCCGAGTTGGAAAGCTAATAGGCCAGTGTTCCCCAGGGACCTGACATCAAAAATAGAGTGTGGGTGAATTATCAAGATTATCTTTTTGTTTTTAATCCTCATCTGAGAATACTTTTTTTCATTTATCTTGAGACAGTGGGAGGGGGAGAGAGAGAGAAACACTGATGTGAGAGACACATCGACTGGCTGCCTCCCGCATGACTCCAACCAGAGCTGGGGACTGAACCGCAACCGAGGTACGTGCCCTTGACTAGAATCGAACCCGTGATTCTTTGGTCCGAGTGCCAATGCTCTAACCATTGAGCCAAACAAGCCAGGGCCCAGATTATCTTTTTTAACCAGGTTCTGGGATAAGAGGAGAGAGAGCTGTTGTGGGCAAAGTTAAGAACTAGTAGGAAAGGTTCGGTTATGTCCTGTAGAGTTAACACTCATTTCAAAATGTGCTCCAGCAGCCCTGGCCGGTTTGGCTCAGCGGTTAGAGTGTTGGCCTGCGGTCCTGAGAGACCCAGGTTTGGTTCCTGCTAAGGGCACGTACCTCGGTTGCAGTTTGTCCCCGGCCCTGGTTGGGGTCGTGTGGGTGGCAACCACTCAGTGTGTCTCTCTCACATTGATGTTTCTCTCTCTCTTCCTCCCTCTCTCTTTCTCCCTAATAAAAAGGGGGGAAAAATGTACTCCAACAGTGTGTCATCTTCAGCTCGGCACTTGCAATAGTCCAGAACTGTACACATAGGATGTGTTTCTAGCTTTAGCTTGTGTGCCCCCATGGTGTCTCTGGTCACCTGGAGATGACAGTGACAATCCAGAGATCTTTGCCTCGTGAGTGGAAAGTGGGTGTTTGTTGGCTCAGATTCACGCGATTAGTGAGGAGACAGGTGTGTTTTTAGAAATCAGACTGCTCAGATTAAGGCTTGGATATCAGATTCCGTAGTCTTAGGAAACGAATCAACTACCTATGCACTTACCCTTTTAACTAATACATTGGTGAGATGAAAGTAAATTCTAGAAATGGAATTGATGTAAAACCTATAACAAACTGCATTGGAGCCCTGGCTGGTGTGGCTCAGGTGGTTGAGCGGCGTCCAGTGCACCAAAAGGTTGCCGATTTGATTCCTAGTCCATCTCTGTCCGTCTGTCTGTCTGTCTCTCTCTCTCAAGTCAATAAAGAAAAGAATTCAGTTTTTTAAAAAAAGCTGCTTTGGAGATATAGCTAATATGTATGGAGGTTTGAGGGTGAAGTGAAACTGAACCACACCCTAAAGTTCCAGAAACGACAGTGTCTCCGGTGGGCGGAGGATGTGAAGCAGTGGGCCTTGGTTACTGCTGGGGTTTCTGGATAAACTTCGATACGGCGCCCTTTGCAGTGATGGGCTTGCGGGCACTTTCTGAGCCAGATCTAGTAAGTGCATCAGCCTTTGTGGACAGAGGGCAATTTAAAAAATATGGCCAATATTATTATCATTCATATGTTAACACTGAAAATTTTTAAAGTACGTGCTCAATGTTGTACACTGTTGAGCACCCACTTCAGCATGTGCGATTTTTAGAGGCTTTTTAAATTATAATTTTCTTACATTCAGAGAGGGCACTTTTGTGTGTGTGTGTGTGTGTGTGTGTGCAGAAAGCCAGGCTTCTTTATTTTTATTTATTTTTATTATTATTATGTTTTAATAACAGGTATCATTTATTCAGCATTTTTTACATGCAGTCTCATCATACAACCATGGGAAGTAGAAATTATGCCCATTTTTCAGAGAAAAGAAGTTGAAGCTTAAGAATAGCTATAACATTACGTTGTTGGAGTCGGCATTCCAATACAAGGCTCTCAACTCCAAATCCTATGCTTTAAACCACAGACTCATATCATTTCTAAAAAACATCATCCTTTCTTAGTTCCATAAACAAAAGAACACTCCAACTGGTTACATATTTACAGATGAAAACCTGCTACCTGATTCATCTGAACACTTTTTATAAAATTGTTTGTCTGAAGGAGACTGGCAGCATGACTATTTAGTTATACTGCTAATTAACCTTCAACTGATTGTATAGCACATAAGAAATAACACTGCTCAAGCCAGACTTCTTTAAATGCAAGAACTTATTTAGCAGAAGTTCATTTTAAGAAAACTTAAAGAAGCCCTGGCCGGTTTGGCTCAGCGGTTAGAGCGTCGACCTGCGGTCCAGAGAGACCCGGGTTCGGTTCCCGCTAAGGGCATGTACCTCGGTTGCAGTTTGTCCCCGGCCCTGGTTGGTCGTGCGGGTGGCAGCCACTCGATGTGTCCCTTTCACGTCGGTGTTTCTCTCTTTCTCTCTCTTCCTCTCTCCCTCTCACTCTACCTGAACAAAAAATGGAAAAAATGTCCTTGAGTGAGGATTTAAAAAAAAGAAAAAGAAAAGAAAACTTAAAGAAGTCCTATTCTGTGTTAGGGGAGAGATGTTTACACTGAGCAGGAGAAATTAATATGCCCCTCAGTAGCAAAAATGCTACTTGAGACCCGGTACATGAGATTAACACACCAAAGAGTAGCATTTTTTTTTTTTTTTTATCCTCACCCGAGGATATTTTTCCATTTTTTGTACAGATAGAGTGGGAGGGAGAGAGAGTGAGAAACATCGACGTGAAGGGACACATCGAGTGGCTGCCACCCGCACGACCAACCAGGGCCGGGGACAAACTGCAACCGAAGTACGTGCCCCTAGCGGGAACCGAACCCGGGTCTCTCCAGACCGCAGGCCGACACTCTAACCGCTGAGCCAAACTGGCCAGGGCAAGAGTAGCATGTTTTAAAGTGTATTCTTTTTTTTTTTTTTTCTTTATTGATTTTAGAGAGAAAGGAAGGAAGAGGAAGAGAGACAGAAAATCGAGGAGCAAGAACATCGATGGGCCGCCTCCTGCGTGCTCCCCACTGGGGATTTGGCCCAACCTGGGCATGTGCCCTGACAGGGATGGAACCAGTGACCTCCTGGTGCATGGGTCGATGCTCAACCACTGAGCCCCACTGGCTGGGCCAAAGTATATTCTTTCTCAAAGAGAAAAACCATGCCTGGCTGATGTGGCTCAGTGGTTGAGCACTGACCCATGCACCATGAGGTCTCCAGTTCAATTCCCAGTCAGGGCACATGCCCAGATTGTGGGCCTGATCGCCAGTGGGGGGCATGTAGGAGGTGGCCCATCGATGGTCTCTCTCATCGATATTTCTATCTCTCTCTCCCTTCCTCTCTCTCTCAAATCAATTTTTAAAAAAAGAGAGAGAGAGAGAAACCATCTCCTAAGAAATCTGCACTAGGGCAGAGGCTACATTTTAACCGTCTGCATTTCCGGCAGCACCTGCCTCAGAGCGCAGAATATAAAACATGCTCAAAACACATTCTTTGAAGGAATGCTTGACTTGGGTATCCTCACCGGAGAGTGCCATTTCTTTACCTATGACTGTCAATGGTGGGTTTTTTGTTTTGTTAATGGCATTTTCCCTGCTTTCGGTGATAATTAATGCTGAGTTCAGACTGCAGGATTTGGATGGAGAAATCTGAACAATAGCTAGATAAGACAAAGCCTGCTACATCTTGTGCAGGCTTCTCTGTCTGCTGATGTGGTTTGGAATTATATGTTAGGAGTGTTGCATACCCGAAGAATATTGATTGCATTTCACATAATGCAATTTACAGTTAAGATGGTTAGGCTGGTCCAGGGAAATATTTGTTTTGTTCAATAATGTTAGACAGAAAACATACATTTTAATAAATACCGCATGAGAACAATCCTTTGGGGTGAACTTCAAGGAAATAAATACACTGCCAGATGGCTACACATCAGTGGGTTTTCACATTTCTAAAATCTGGAGAGAGATGTATGTATGAAGAAACTCTTTGCTTTCCAAATAAGTTCTTCTGAATTCTTGTTTTAATATCAGAGATCTTTGTCCGGCATTTTGTATGTAACCTTTGATATCTAAGGACAATAGTTACAGGGCAGAGTATACAGCATGGTCCCATTTGTTTAAATATATATATCCGCATACATTACAGGTACATAAAACTCTAGGAGACTATCTAACTGCGCGGTGGTTGTGATGAGGAACGGGGCAGAGTGAGATTCTAAGATAATTTTACATTTAGTTACACGTTTCAGTGATATTTGAATTTTTATAATAAGCAAATATTGCTTTTGTAATCAGAGAAAGTTAATATTCGGAGCTGAAGTTGACAGCATAGATAACAACGATAGTGTTGCAAAGAGCTGGAAAGTAATCTAGCTCCCTGTGCCCCGTGTCAAAAAAATAAATTAAAATATCAAAAAGCTGTATTTAGATTCACACACCACAACTCCTGGTCAAGATAGGCCAGGAAATGGCAGGATTTGGGGTGTCTGGCTATATTCTTCCCCCAAACAGTGCTTTTCAAACCATTGACAGCGAAAGGGTAGCTGTTTTGCTTTTTATTTCCCCGATGCCTTGCAGACCGATACTTTAATAAAATCAATAAAAACGAATTACTGGGAAAATGAAATTAACAAACAACGAAGACTTCAGGGCCCAATATTTTTATTATTAGATCGAACAGACATAAAATTCGTCTGTCAAATTGCTTTTAAACGGTGGTTCTCAACTGGGGCGGGGAGCTGTGATGTAGCCCCCCCAGGAGACACTTGGCAATGTCAGGAAGCATTCTTGGCTGTCACACTGGAGAGGGCAGTGTTGACTGGCATCTCATGGGTATAGGCCAGGGATGCTGCTCAACGTCCTAAGGTGCCTAGGATAGCTCCCCCACTCCCCACACTAAGGAATTGTTGGGCTCAAGGTATCACTGGTGCTGATGTTTAAAAACCCTGTTTTCCAGTTTTTAAATCTTTTTTCTTTATTGATTTGAGAGAGAGAGAGAGGAAGGAGAGGGAGAAAGAGATAGAAACATCCATGAGAGAGAACATCAATTGGCCGCCTCCTGCATGCCCCCCACTGGGGATTTGACCTGCAACCTGGGCATGTGCCCTGACCAGAAATGGAACCGCGACCTCTTGGTGCAGGGTCGATGCTCAACCACTGAGCCACACCGGCTGGGTGCTTTCCAGTTTTTAAATGGTTAATCTCAATTTTTTAATTTATCTTTTGGCAGAATGGTAACATTGTTGGGCCCTGGTCCTAGAGTATAGTCTGAGAAGACTGCTCTAAGGTACTTCCTTTGAACCTGGCCCAGTAAGGCTGCCAGACAAATCCCAACCAGAATTCTCTTGTCCTTGAAATGTGGGAGGCTTCTGAGCAAACAATATCCTAGAAGCAGCACAGGAAAATGGGGCTTAGAGATGGAATCAAGGGAAACACTAAGCGGGTTTTTTGTTAATCCTTACCCACCCATATGTTTCCATTGATTTTTAGATAGAATGCAAGGGAGAGAGGGAAAGAGAGAAACATTGATGTGAGAGAGACACATCGATTGGTTGTCTCCCGTACCACCCCACAACCCCACAACCCTACAACCCAGGTATGAGCCCCTGACTGGGAACCAAACCTGCGAACCTTCAGTCCGAGGGTCAGCACTCTAACCACGGAGCCGGACGGGGTCTTGACGCTTACCTTGTCACTTCCTACCTGCTGAGCCTGGGAGGGTGCATTCATATCTCTGGGCCACCATCTTCCCATCTGTGAGATGGGAAGACGGCCCTGTTCACAATCCCACGGTGGGGATTAAATGTACATCACTGGTTTCACGAGCACCGAACCCACAGCGGCGCCCCGCCCGACGCGCGCAGGTTTGTCCTCTCTGGAACTCTGGAGAAGGGTTCTGCCCAGGCCACCGAGAGCCCAGAGCTGTGTGTCTGTGGTGTGGCTTAAGGTGACACGCCTCACTTTCTCCTCCTCCTCGGGGAAGAGCAGGGCTCACCAGACACTTCCAGCTCCGGCTGAGATGAGTGGAGGGTGGGGCCTCCTCTCCCGAGAAGGTGAAATGAAACCGCTTTGCAAAACGGGAAGTGCCCTCAAAGGTGACGGTCACTCACTGTTTCAATGAGCATTTATCGGGCCCTTACTAGATGCCCTTCCTGTCAAGCATTGGGAAAGGGAACTAGAAGGACCAAGGGGAAGAGGTGCGCGGAAAACTGGCCGACTGGCAGCAACGTGCATCTTGTGAGACCCAACGCTGTTTGCAAAGCAGAATCAGGCTCCATTCGTTCTTGGGCAAAAAAAAAAAAAAAAACGGTCAAGAAGGAAGAGACCGTTTGTGGCGAAGCTTCTGGTCCAACTCCCGAGGCAGCCAGCTCAGCTTTGGCAGAAACGACTGGGAAGGATCTCACCCAACAAATTCCAGCTGCAGCTGGCCGTTGTCCCCCTGTCCTAACCTGGAGCACAGGGCCATGCACCTGGCCCCTGGCCCCGCTGACCTGGCTCTGGGAACCGAACACAGACCCTCACATGCTCCTGTTCTGGGAACCGGGAGGGGCGTAGGCTGGCTGTGGGCCCAGTGTCCTGAGGCCGATGGGTCAGAAACTGCAACTCTGGGAGGAGATGTAGCAGAAGCCGGGGCCGAGCTGCGGGCGGTGGCTCCTGTCAGGACAAAAAGGCCCCGGGCAGGTAACACCTGAGGTCTGCCTGAACAGAAGCCCATAGGACCCCTGCTTCCAGACTCTTCTTCTGGAGAACATGTCCCTCTCCTTCAGTATGCTCTGGGTTTCTCGGGAGCTGTGAGGACCTGTCTGGGCTGCTCTGGCTGTGCCTCCTGAGCAAGGACAGGTTCTGTTCAGCGACAGCTGTGTTCCAGGCTGCGGCAGGGAGGCTGCGGGGACAACCTCACTGAACAGTCCAGAGGCTGGAAGTTCCCACGCTGGAGGCAGGGGTGAATGGGGAAAGGTATGCATGAAGAACAAATTTGTTAAGTACCCACAGCTGCCTGGGAGGAAAACTCTGTTCTGCTCCCTGTCCACGTGAGTTCAGCTGCCTCTTCACGTCTGCGTCGTCCTCAGCATCTTTGCAGCTCGGTGGAGGGACAGAAGAAAGATGGCACCCTGGTCACCCTCGGCACCGAGGCGCCAGCAGACCCTGGGTACACCCAGAGAGTTAGGACAGCATTTCTCTTCCACAGACACTCACAGCCTGGATGGGGCCATG